GTTGTTGATTTTGACAATGTTTTTCATTCTTGAATTTGCTACAAATTGGCTACCATACACAACATAATTATAATATTATCATCTAGTATATTTTAGTTTTAAAACAAGGGCATTTTTACCCGCAACTTGGGTTTTCGTTTTTGCTTGTAGTTGTTGCTATGGTAGAATCACTTAGACTACTGAATTTCTCGGCCTTTCAATTATTTATTTATTTACAACAATATTTATCCAGGAGCATCAAATAAATTATTGCCCCTTTTTGAGACAATGGATAATTGTCCTAACTCTTGGACTATGTTCTCAACTGATTCCACTCCTCTGTTAAAAGCATGACAAGGTAAACAAAAAGCTATTAAATATAAAATGCATTTTCTTTAGAACGAGGGCCTCTTATCAACTATTTTCATAACATTTAGATAGGCCTTGAGGGGGAGGGGGGGGGGGGGGAAGTTCGGCTTCAGGTGATACTACTTATCGTGACCTTGAGCATTCTGGATATAATAAATTATAACAAAAACCTCATCCAATATTTATTTCTTATTTGCAAAAAAATGGGGGATAATTCTTGAGGGCAGAAATTATTCATTGGAGACGATTATATTCAAATGTTTTCCTTTCCTTTGCTTGTTGTTATGGTAGAATCACTTAGACTACTGAATTTCTCGGCCTTTCAATTATTTATTTATTTACAACAAATATTTATCCAGGAGCATCAAATAAATTATTGCCCCTTTTGGGGGGATAATTGTTGAGGGCAGAAATTATTCATTGGAGACGATCTTATATCCAAAATGTTTTCCTTAATAAAAGAGGGTAACTTTTTGCACCTTTGTGTCACATTTATCCTTCTAGGTCTGTACACACTAATTAAAAACATTCTTCGCAAACATCAATCGTTGCTTTGACAATCTAAAATCAACATAATTTATCACATCCTTCAAGGACATTTTAAGTTGTCTAATTTATTTGCCCCAGCCAGCCAAGAAAATGAAAGTCAGTATAAAGAAAATTGTGCCACTTAAATGAAGGTCTGTGACGTGTCGGAAGAGCAACTAATTTAACCTTTTTAATAATAATAAAAATATCCATAAAATACTATAACTTCAATATATATTATGAAACAACAGGTACTAAATCATTCTGAATATTTCGAAATTTTAAAGTGGGTTTCATAAATTGTAGAATTCAGTCATTAAATATAATTTCTGCAAATTGTAGCCTACCAAGATACCGAAGTTCACTTACAAGAATTCAAAATGGCGAAAATAATATTGTTTTTATATAGAAAATTAAATGCAAATTTTTCTTTCACCGAGTTCTATTTTTTTAGACAAACTAAGTGCAGATGTCAAGAATGAATAAACTATTCTTCCTGTTGAGAATAAACTTGATATGTGCACACTTTTAAAAACAGTTAAAAAAAATAAGCTCATAGACAAGAAGCCGATGTACAAAAACTAGGTTATCAGGGCGCTATTTCAAAGTACAAGATTTAGAGTCTGATATTTCGTGTGAAATATTAATGGCATCAGGTGAAAATTCGAGATGCCCTCGAAGTTTTATGTTCTGATCTATGACAAGGTTCACGAAACATCTATAAAACAACACGCGCGGATGCAATAATATTGAACCAAATAAAGTAATCTTAGATGCTGTGATTTAAACACCGTATAGTGATACTTATAAAACCTCCTAAATTAACGCGACGAGTCTTATAAAACGGCAGGTAGCATAATATTTAACTGCTAGCCAGTATCTTTACCACAACTATCGAGATTACGTGAATTAGAGTACTAAACTCAAAAATAAGCCTGTATGATTGTATCTGTACAGATATGTATTAAAACCTGTCCTTTCATTTTCGTTGTATTCTCTTCTTTATCTAGTGCAAACATTTAACGTCTGACCAATGCCTTGGGTATATTTGTATCGACCGAGGATAGATGAGTATACGCTTGGATACAGCATTTACCACCGAAGCTACAAGCTATAAGAAATTAAGATGGAGGTGCAAGTTTACTTACGGTCCCTCTCCTGCAGAAAATGGTACATAAGCGGGCTGAGAATCACAATGAATAGTAGAATGAATCTGTTTCTTTTAACAGTCGTCCAAATCATGTTTTTCGCCCTGTCAAAAATAAATATAAACGTTGAAATCGCGTTAGAGCGTGGGCCATCGAGAGAACTGCAATATATTGAGGGCCGGCGATTTGTACTGACCGAGAGAAGACTGAAATCCAGTTGTCACCATTAGTTACGGTGTTGTGTGACATCCGCCGAGACAGGAAGTATTTACAGTACAAATTAAAATGTCGCGCGTTATATTTTACCGCTGTCACGCAAAATTGCAATTTTCAGTGCTTTTCAGCAAGACAAAAAAACGGTCATAGATCAATTTATCATACTGAATTTAGTGAAATTGCGAAGTTTCGAGAAAAAAAACTGCCTGAAACTCGATTTGAGTCAAAAAGCACATTATTGTCCACATTATTGTCCCCATGCATGCAGTGTACATTTCTGATAAAAATGCAGAACAACAATTTATCCATCATATCATGATGAAATAGAGAAAACCCGATTCTGATTCGCACAGTGATTCACCGGTCGCATTTCAGTCACATCTGCGGCGTCAGATTACATTCGACGCGACTGAAATGCGATCTTACAGCCAACCTCGTTCCCAGGGTCTCTCTTCTTCCCGCCAAACGCGATTGAACTGAGACAGTTCAATCGCGTTTGGCGGGAAGAAGAGAGACCCTGGGAACGAGGTTGTCCTACAGCTACTTAGGCCATCCCCATAAAATGCGTTGTTTCCCATCGCCGACCGACCCAATTTTTTCAAAAAGTAAAAAAAAAGGTTTATGATTCATTGCCTGCGCCCTTTTCTCGGGTGTTTCCAAGTTTAAGGCGGGATTCTACCTGAATGCCATTTTTCCGCCACTTAACATGGGTTTAATGGAAATATCTCGTTCGCGTTTCAAGCAATCCAAAAACTCTCCACTCATCCCATGAATCTATGTTATGGGGTGTTTTGTAAATTTTTGGATGATTTTTGGGTATTTTGGGGAGGAAATAGTTTTCTCAAAGGAGTTGTAAAATTTAGGGAAATAAGAAATATTGAAGATTTAATGTAGTTTTAAAATTAGAATTTGAAGTTAAAAATTAGTAGATTGACAATTGACGACAGTTGATAACCACGCAAGAGCACCCGCGTGGGTATCAACTTTTTTTTTTCCTTCTATCCCTTCTTTAAACCTCTTAAAATTTCATTGAAATTCAGGTAGAATCCCCCCTTAATAGGCTTTGGTCACTCTGACATCTAAATCAGCCCAGTAATGACGACGTCTTCGAACACTTTTCAGAGTGATATCGGCTCGGTGCAAAATGGTGGTCACGGGGAAGATGTAATCAAGGCTCGCTTGGAATTATTTATGTATAATTTGTCAATATTTCGTTTCTCGGCTTTTCTTTTCTTTTCTTTTTTCAGTTACCGACCGACCCACTTTCACGAGAGAGAGGGTGATGGGAAACAAAACATTTTAGGGGGATGGCTTTACGGTAAAGCTGTATAAATTCAGCTGTAAATTGGGCCTTAAATTTGGTCACAGCATGAAATTAACGCGAATTTCAGTCGTGTTTATAATTTATTTGGCGCCTTAATTTCTGCCGGACACTAATTTCTATTGTTTTGACCCAAAATTCTGCATCGTGCCAAAATGTTTTTGAATTAAATTCAAATTTTTAACACTGAATAGCGTTCTCTTTTTGGCACATTTTAATCTTTAATCGATCTTTTACTCCGCAATGCATATTATCAGAAGTATCTCATTGTACCTCGCAATCTGGTTTTGTCCTATTTATTTTCCGCTATTTCTTTCCTGTTGTAATCACAAAAGTGTCTTCTTTTCAATTTTCTTTAATTTTCTTTTTCGCGTCACTGCAATCGTGAATTTATATTATTTTGAGCTATACACTGACCTTCCATTGGGGTTTTAAGTCGCGTTATAACCCAAAACATACTCCCTCCCCAAAGAAGAAGGGGAAAAAACCAATCTCAGAAATCACTGATCAAAATCCTTCCGATAAATAAGCCCACTTCGAAGATAAGCCCTTATCTGTTTTAGATTTATCTCTTAACAGCTTACAGAACGGGAAAATCCATTTAAATCTGATAAGCCCACACATTTTTGAAACGCAATATTCCTTCCAATATAAGCGATAATACTCCCCCTCCCCGCGGTAAAACAATGCATTTGATTATATTGTTGGTTGTTTTCCTCGTAAAGGCTAAACACACCTATATTGCACCCTTTTATATTAAAACATTTTCGGGAAAGTATATTCCGGCCCTTCTTTGTTTTAATATCCAAAATTATTGTTCCGATAGCGCAGAACACGGTATTTGGGGCGTTTGCATTGGTTTGCATTTGGTTCAGTCTTTCTCGATCGCCTTTCCGGCAGAAATTTTGTTCCGTCTTAAAATGATCGTGCTCATTAGAGGCGGACAAGTTGAGTGTAGAAAAAAAAGTGTCAATTTCTGATGCAAAAAGTGACCACAGCACAGCACAAGGGTAAACAGCGTCTTGGATTGGTACATTGTTTTTAATTTTTTAATTTTTTTAATTTTTTTATTTATTTTTAATTTTTATTTTTTTTATTGGTACATATTGTTACTTGCGCGTAAAAATTCTACAACAGATCAGAACAACACATTAGAGGAGAACTAGACTGCGAACAGGCTCACAAGGGCTTATTACAAAATATGACTTACAAAGGGGGAGCTTATTAGAGAGGGGGGCTTGATAATTATAATAAATGAATAAATAAAATAAATGGGAATTTCAGTGGAAATCCACAGAGCGGCTCTTCTCTTCCACCGTTCCAGATCGAATTGGAATTTAGAAATGTTGATGTTTGTTGAGGGAGGAAAACCGGAATTACCCGGCGAAAAATCCTCGGAGCAAGGATGAGAACCAACAACAAACTCAACCCAGATATGACGCCGGGTCCGAGATTCGAACCCAGGCCACATTGGTGGGTACCCTATAAGAGAGATTTGAAACCGGAAACCGCGCAAGAAAAGCCTCTGGCACCCCACACAGCGGTAATTGGTGGGAGGCAAGCGCTCTCACCACTGCGCTATCCCTGCTCCCCAAATATTATATAAAAGCTGGTCTTAAAATCGATGAAAATGCTGAATAATGGTTTAAAACGAAAGGAAAAACAAAATAAATTCAACTAGATGTATTTCCATGACATGTTGGAAGTGAAATAATTGACATTTTTGACAAATAATTGCTCTATTACTTGGTGTATCTATCAGCTCTGAGCAGTCTTGAAGAAGAACTGATATTTTTAAGAGGTGAACACTGAGAACCGGTTCTCCGAGTTGGGGGTTGGGCGACGTTCTTATCACACGGAAACAGGAGGATTTATTCCTTTATGTGCCAATTGGGATAAAAAGGAGGATAGGTAAATGTGGACAGAAACAATTAAAAACACCATAAATCAAATTGGTGTTAAGATCGTTCACGGTAAATCGTAATTTTGTTTATTCCTTGTGTTAACTGGTCAAACCCGACCAACCAGAAATTAATCTTTGTTAAATCTACCTTCTTACCTGTTGTGTCTGGTTCGCAACGTTGGGATGTTTTCAGTTTCAATCTTCAAAACTTTGTTGAAAGCGCGACACAAAATGTTTCTATTTCAGGTACTACTAGTAGCGGACTAGATACCCGGCAAACTTTAACAGTGCCGACAGAATAGCTATACAAAATGGCACCAGTAAGAGAAAAGGGTGGTAAAGGGTATTAAATTGCCTGTTTTATTTTACGTGATTGGTGAAATATTGCGAAACATGATTTGCTTAATTTAAAATAGCCTTTCACTCCCAGAGTCATATCTTGAGTCAATAAATGTGGTTTTAACGTTAGTCTGTGGATGAAACCCTGGTGTATGGCCATTCAGATGAAAGCTATTAACTAGTACTTTCAAGTGGTGCTGTTTGTTTTTGACAATTTGCAAAATGAAATTCAAGATTTTTTCCTCAGTTTTGAACTTAGCACTCTTGGGAGTAAAAGGGTTAAATAGCCGTGATTTATCTGTGAGTAAAATGGGGCCGCAGAAGATTTTAGTTTAGAGATAAGATAAGATAAGATAAGATAAGATAAGATACGATACGATAAGATAAGATAAGATAAGATAAGATAAGATAAGATAAGATAAGATAAGATAAGATAAGATAAGATAAGATAAGATAAGATAAGATAAGATAAGATAAGATAAGATAAGATAAGATAAGATGAGATGAGATGAGATGAGATGAGATGAGATGAGATGAGATGAGATGAGATGAGATAAGATGAGATGAGATGAGATGAGATGAGATGAGATGAGATGAGATGAGATGAGATGAGTGCCAAATAATTAACAGGGCATTGTACTCGTTCTCTCTGTAGGCCAAGAGGTTTCCTTTCTTCTCTTTTTGTCCTTTGGATCTCAATCCAATTTGTAGTAGCATGAGTAATATATACGGCGCGAGTTGAAGTGGCACTCGCGAGAAGGAGACGCGCGAAGAGTTTCGCGCGCGTCGCGCGTGTCCTCCCTAGCGCGCGGCAATGGGTTCGATTCAGCCCTGGTTGTTCCACACAGCGGTCAAACGCAAAAATTGCGCGCCACTTCCGGTTTCCGCGGCCTTGACTTTTCCATGAGTTTGAAGCGTAATGGCCGCGAAGTTTGTAAGGAAACGTTATAGAACATGCAGTGGTAAACCAAAATACGAGCTGAGACACTATTTGGATAACAATTATTACATTATCTATGCATACTCGAGTATAAAGCTTAAGTTTTCAGTAAATGTCTTAAGTTTGAGCTTTAAAGCGGACGACTTCGCAATTTTAAGACATTTGACTGCAAAGTTTTGGCGGGAACTGCGCAGGCGCGTCACGTTTGACCGCTGTGGGCTGTGGGTAGTTGTTCTCTTTCTCTCTTGAGCGAGCGCGAAGTACACGTAAGGACCTGGGAACGGGTTTGCGTGCCGGTGACGTCATGAAATTTCGCGCCAAATCGAGTAAGTGGGAAGGGAACGCCTGGGTACAAGGCTGGGTTCGATTCTAATAGCAGTTAGACATGCCATGACACTCCACTGTAATATGTACTTGAAATACAATTTCAAGGCCCCCCTCCTCTTGAGTGACTGATTTTACTTTGAGACCCCCCATCCTTGCCAGTGATTTTACTTTATGCCCCCCCCCCCCCCCTCTGGTTTTCCAACCGGCCTCCCTCCTGGTAATTATTGCACAGTCCCTAATGCAACATAGAAACACTACATCCAATATAATTACCTACGTATACATTACAATTATTTACATGCTTAAATACATTCTTTACAAAATAATATAGGAATAAGTTAAACAAGACAAAATATAAGTGAATTACAAAATAATTACCAATTTTTAATGAAACTTTATTAACGACTTATTTGTAGTAGCGATCTCTTTTAGTATTTGTAGTCTTTATCAAGCTGCAGAAGGAAGTTCCGGAAATATACAGCTGTTTCGAGAAAGGTTGTCGGAAAAAAGCGCACGCGACAATCCCGAAACGTAATCCGGGATATGATCAGCAAGGTACGTTCCTGACACTGTAGCTGTCGAACCTACTTTTGTTGCTTTCTTTTAGCACTCGCAAACATACTTCCATGGCGTCTCGTGCCATTTTCTCAGATTTCCCTGAAATGCTGAAGTCAAGCATAGTCCCTCCACAAGGAACCGTGAACCTAAAACTACCCACAATACCTTTCGGGATTGTCGCGTGCGCTTTTTTCCGACAACCTTTCTCGATACAGCTGTACATGTATATAGCTCATCTCCACGCCCGTTTGTACAAAAGATGTGATATTTTGCAATTAATATTACCACTGTAGTTCATGCCTGCCATTTGGTTGATTTATCTATATATATGGCAACCATGTAAAATTTTGCTGAGTATTTAAATAAATATTTTCGCGTGTTTTTTCGTACCACCAAACTTGAAACTTCCAGAAGGTGGCCGTAATTGTCAGAGGCGGATCCAGGATTTTTTGATAGGTGGGGTCCCAGGGTTTTCCCGAAAATGTGAAGTAGATTGAAGGAAAATTTTAGGAAGTAGACGGCAGTAGTAAAGGCGCGAGGGCCTCCCCCGGAAAAATATTGAGAGTCTGAAAAGTGCATTTTGGTTGATTCCGGAGATGGTTTTGCTATGGATAATAGAGAAAGCAAAAAACCCCTAAGGTCTGATAGGGGGGTCCCGACCCCCCCCCCCCCCCCCCCCTGTATCCGCCACTCATTGTGGTCTAATCCCGGGGGTCTAATGTTTGTTTTTCATTTCTGCACAAGGTGCAAAGGTCACTGTCTTTTATGCCAACACGAAATAAACTCATTTGAGTAGGTAGTGCGTTGTGTAAAATTTGATATTGAAACATTATAAGTTTAACTTCTTTTGTGATTGTGAATGGTAGGTGATAAACTTTGTGTACGTTATTTTCAGTGAAACCGTGTTACAAAATCTTGCTTTCGGATGTTGGTGGTTCAAAGTTCTTCTTTGAAATTGTAGAATAAAATTGTAGAATAAACCCGGGAATAAACTAGCCTGCGAATACAGCCGACCTTCTCGCGGGACGCTGCATGTGGGCGCGCGATGGAAGTCGGCTGTATTCGTAGGCTAAAATTGAACTTGTGGACGATGTTGTGTTAGAGGTATCTTTCAGCTTAGTCCTACCCTGGTGTCTGATGTTAGTTTTCCAAGTACACGGAATAGCATCCACGAGGCCACGCCCCCTCTCTAATAAATCCCCCCCCCCCCCCCCAACCCCGGCTCTAGGGCCAGGGTTTCAGTATTTGACGTCTTCTAGGCCATTTCCGAGTTGTCCTTTTGTCTCTGTTTCAAAACGAGTCCTGTTGCATGTGCACAACCTAGCCTTTATTATGGAAATGAGTTTCACCTGCACGTGTATTGTCATGCAACCATAACCTGGACAAAGGTACAGGTGTGTGTGTGCACCAGGACGACCACCAGGACTCGTTTTGAAACAGAGGCATAAGGAATCTATGCGCGACCAGGGACTAAGGACGAACGATCCAAAAGGACTCGAACCCATTCCTCCCGGTCAGTTTGCTGTAATTCCAAGATGGACGAAGTAGACAACATTATCATTCACACCTTCAGACAAATCGGCTGGTGAGAATTCACTTTATATTGTGTTATATGATTGTACAAGTTATAATCCAACAACCGAATAATTGTTTTGTTTAAACTATATTTCAAATGGGAAATGCTGTTTCCATATTTTATAGGACGGAAGATTTGTAATCTGTAATTCAACCCCTAGAATCGAATTCACTTGTTCCTTTACTTGTAAAAGATTGTCGGAGAGAATGGTTTTATTGACTTAAATTCCATGTCATTGTCATGTGCAGTGCATTAGGTAATTGTGTAAAGTACGTACAGATTATAGCTTAATGTACGTGTTTAATAGACATGTTATAACATGCATCATTTTGTTTATGCAGAGCTATACAGTGGCTTTAGAATGATTTTCGAAAGCAGTCATTTAATATTTCTTTGCTTTTGCGCTTCTTGAAGTAATAATTAATAAGCTCATTCCTCAATATTTGTGCAACGTGCTCTACAGCAATCAAAATATGCTGCTTGTTTTGGCCATTAAGGTGCAAACATTCTGGTACTATAAATCGCTGATGATTCCAGGGTGGGGTGGGGATAGATACTTCCCTATTTAGCTATACAAGTGACATACAGGTGTTTGCCCCCCCCCCCCTCCCCCCCCCCTCAAGGATATGGTTTTTTAACTGTTTCAGTCTGAAATAGGGTTACAAATTTGACTTTTTGTTCTGAAATAGGGTGTGCTTTTTGTAGGAACTACTAACTCATATACATGTAGACTAAACACCAACACCAACAAACTTTCTCCACTCTGATGACGGTGGACAGAAGCCACTGGAAATTTAATAGAAAAACAAACAGATCAGTTTAAAAATCATTCAAAAAAAGTCTATAGAAGCTTAAGTATGTTATGTTTTGTAAGTATGTTATGTTATTCTAATCACTGAAAAAAAGCTGTATTTTTTGATGTATACCTACCTAACTGATCAATCT